CGCTCCCCTACAGCACCCGGGGTGCGACCGGGACGCTCACAGGTAAAGCCCGGCCGCGGGGCCAGCCCTCACGGGACGCACCCCCGGCCTTGCCGGCGCCAGCTCAGAGCCAGAGCGCCCAGCCAGCGGGGACCAGCCGCCTGCTCGGCCTGGGTGAGCCCACAGGCTTCTGTGCGTCTGGTCCTAGCTGCGTGTATTTTCTGTGTAGAACGGGACAACTAAGACAAACACATTTTTTGACATTTGATATTTTTCACTTAATGTATTCATACCTCTCCCTGTAAACGTGTTTCACTGTTACCACTTAAATCTGAACTTAACTGCGTGTATACAGTAGACTGCAACTCCTCCTAAGACTGAACTTAATGTTTTTTTCTATTTTTGAAGTCACAGCACAACACACACATCCCGTAGGACCCGCAGACCCAGCGGCCCTGAGGGCGCCGGCCCCCACCCACGTCCTCTCCTCCCACAGGACAGACGCCTCACGCTCACTCCGTCTGCCCAGTGCAACCGGGCAGGGGGCCCGGGCCCAGGGGTAGGACGCGCGGAGCCGCCAGCACCGCGGGGACAGGCACGGTGCGCCGGGCACGTGCTCCTGGAAGACGGAACCGCCAGCCCCTGGACGGCGCTGCACCTCCCGGCCCTGAGGTCCGCGAGGAAAGGCTCCAGAGACGTCCAGGCAAGTGCCTGGAGGTGGGCGAGCGGGGAGGCTCCCGCGCTGTCTGCGGTGGGACTGGGGACAGCCCGCACCCAGTCGGGGATGGGAGATGAGCCCGCGCGGAAAGGCCGCCGGCGCGCCGGGGCAGAAGGCAAGAGGGAAAGAGAAGCTCCCCACCACCAGGCGTCTCCCCGGCTTCCGTCCTGCTGCGCCGGGTGCCCCGGGCCAGGCGACCCCTCCCGGCCTGAGCACTGATGGGACTTATATTCTGTTGTCCCGAAGCCCTGTGAACATCTGTTCCAGGCAACAGGGCCCAGCGGCTCCTGGGGGTCTACGCACAGAAGGTGTAGTCAGCATCAGCGAGGCCTCTGGGTTTTCTCCCAAGATCCCTTGGGAGGAATGCCTGACCCTCGAGACACCACGTTCATGGGTGTCTGAGGCGCACACGCTGTCAGTGAAGACCTTTGAAAACCACGTGGTGGGACATCCCCTCCAGGGCGGGGGACCCCCACAAGGGAAAGCTGTCTAACAGCCACAAATTCAGGGGCGCACAGAGCGCTCAGCGGCAAGGAAGGCGACGGAGCGCACGGGTCGGCTCCAGCTTTGCAGGGTCCTGGGCCTGACGTGGCTGGCATCCCCTCCCCAGCTCCTCTCTCCTGCAGGGGGTGCCAGGAGCCACCCTACCCTGGGGGCAGGGGGGACAGCAGCCCTGTAGAAGGGCCTAGAAATGAATCTTCCAGAACTGCACTGCCCACGCTTGCAACCATGCCCTCACATGGGGTCATGAGTCCCGCCCACTGCCTGCTTCTGTAAATAAAGTTTTACTGGAATGCAGGCCTACTCCTCACGCACACTTGTCTGTTTATCTATCATCTAGGGTGGCTCTCAGGCTACATGCAGACCGGGTAACCCACACGGACCACCTGGGCTGCGAAACCAGAAAGACCTATGACCTGGCCCTCCGCGGGGAAGGCTGTGGACCCCGCCCTTTCTTTGCCTGGCCACAAGTCTAACCTTGAGGGGTGCGTGGCAGGCTCTGGTCCTGAGAAGCACCACAGATGAGCAAAGAAGCATTTCAGTCCGCTTGCTGGGCCGGGGGTCATAACAGGCCGAGGGGCCCTGAAGAGCTTCCAGTGCAGCTGGCCCTGAGGTCTACGGACAGGGCTAGAAGGTGCAGCCTGGGCCAGGCGGGCCTCAGGGAAGGCGGGAGCAGCCCCAGAACCCATGATGTGTTTGTGCACCAGAGCCTGGCCCTCGCTGGGCAGCTGGGTAACGACCACCAAACTCACTTGTCTCCTTGTTGTGGCCTCTTTGGTAAGATGCCTGGAATTCGCCTTCTGGGGGCAAGGACCTGACTAGAGGCACTCGGGGCCCGACTTCCCGGATGTGGGCCCCTCAGGAGCTGGGGCTAGGGTTTAGGGGGTCCCAGCAAGGCCGTGAGTCAGAACAACAGGGAGCACGTGCAGACTCAGACCCCGAACCTGATGGGGACTGCCCAGGAATCTATTTTGGGATGGCCCTTTCCCAAGTGGGTCCCTGCAAGCCCCCCACCAGAGCCAACCCTGTTCACTGTACAGAGTGGGGTTTGGGCGGGGGCGGGGTGCTGAGAAACTCTGCCAGGCACAGAGCCTGCCTGCGGCCAAGGGCCAACTTGCTAGGACACCGTGACGACCTTGTGACATGGGAACAGCATCTGCCGAGCCTCCCGGGGCCGCTGTGACAAGTTACCACTACTCAGTGGCTCAGGACAACGGGTGAATTCTCCTACAGTTCCAGAGGCCAGGAGCCCCCAGGGCGCCCCAGGCCCAAGCGGAGGTGTGGGAGTGGCTCCTCCAGAGGCTCCAGGGAGAATCCCTCTCCTGCCTTCTCTGGGCTCAGGACCCCGTCCTCCACAGTCTCACCGCCTTCCGTCCTGCTGTGTGCCTGCCTCCCGCAGGGCCCCTGCGATGCCATCTAGGGCTCACCCAGATAATCCAGAATAATCTCCCCATCTCAAGACCCTTAACTTGAAGCCAAACGTGGTCCCTCCACACATGGGAGCATCACTCAGCCATGAAAAGGAGAGCAGCCCTGACACCCGCTCCCACCGGGATGGACCCTGAGAGCACGAGCTCAGGGAGAGAAGCAGACACAGGAGGACACACAGCGTGTGAGTCCACGGACGTGGGACGTCCAGAACAGGCCGGTCCGCAGACACACAGAGGGGCTTCCTGGCTGCCAGGGGCTGGGGAGGGGGTGCTTTCAGGGTGATGGAATTAGAGCTGACAGGTGCACAAGGCTGTCAATGTACTAAAATGCCACTGAACTGTGCACTTTCAACGGGTGGCTTCTACGGTGTGTGGATTCTATCCTGACAAAGCTGTTACTAAAAAGCCAGAGGAGCGCGTGGCGCCCGCCTGTCTGCCAACTCACCGACGCTGGTGGGGAAGACCCCCTCGTCGTTGATCTGCAGCTCGATCCAGTCCATGAGCAGGTCCATGTACCGGGGAGCCGACAGCGCCGTGGGCCGGCGGAAGCGGTGCTCGTCCTGCCAGCGGTACTCGTACTTGGGGCCGCCCGACATGATGGGGCAGGAGCGCTCGGTGCAGCCGTCGCTGATGGTGCCGTAGATGAGGTTGACGCGGTTGAAGAAGTCCACCACGTGCACGGCCACCCAGTCGTTGAGCTCCTCACCGGCGGGCAGCTGCACGGCCAGCTTCAGGTCCAGCCCCGCGTTCAGCGACGCCTGCGCCTTCTTGTGCAGCTCGAAGCGCTGGGTGCCTGGCTCGAACTTGCGCTTGGGCCGGAAGGTCTTGTCCTTGTTGAAGACTTGCTTGAGGAAGGGGTTGGACATCTTGCCCACACGCTACAGGCGGCCCCCAGCCAGGCCTCTGCAGGGACGGCCAGGCGGGACGCTTGAGACAGGACGGTCACTGGGACCCCAGGTTGCCCCAGACCTGGAATACACAAAGAGGAAGACTCGTCGCCTGTCCCCTGAACCCTGTTCTGGACGCACCAGTGGGCGGACTGGGGACGCTCCTTGGACGTGTGGTTTTGAGTTTCACCAAAAGGATGCAGACTGCCCCGGGCACGTCTGCCTGCCTTAGAGCAGACGCTGAGCTGGGCCCCAGACAACTCAGAGTGGGTGGCATCCCCTCCCCGCCCGGGGGCTTCCTGTAAAGCAAGAGAGAGCGCGCGCGCGCGGAGACCCGCACCCGGGCTGAGGCTGACCCCAGCAGGTTAAGTGGTGGCCTCTACAAAGAGACGTCCGCCTCCCTGGGACCTACGAGCGGGGCCCCATCAGGAGAAAGAGTCTTTGCACACGTGACTGAGTTAAGGATCCTGGGACGCACTCGTCCGAAGTTATCCGGGGGGCCTGAAATCCAATGACGAGTGTCCCTGTGAGGGCAGACAGACACGGGAGGCTGTGTGATGACAGACTCAGGGACGGGGTGATGACTCTACAAGCTGACGGACACCAAGGACTGCCGGCACTGGTAAAGCCTGGAGAGAGCCCAGCAACGGGTGCCCCCTCAGAGCCTCGGGAGGAAGCAGCCGTGTTTCGGGCTTCTGGCCTCCAGAGCTGGGAGGGAATACATTCCTGTTTCATCTGTTCCTCCCTGCGTCTCCTGTCCGAATCTCATCACTGGTTCAGGGCCCACTGTAACCCAGTGAGACCCATCCTACCATTCTGACATCTGCAGAGACTCCATTTCTGACGGTGGTTATGAATTCCGGGGGACACTAGATGGTCACCCCAGGAGACCACTAAGTAAAGACGCTTCCACGAGCTGGTCCAGTCTTGTGACACCCGTCTCTGGGGACAAGGCCCTGGCGTGGGGGCTGCCGCTGCCATGCCCCTGCTGTGACTGCATGACCCCCCCCAAGCTCCTCCCCAGCTCCTCCCTGTGCCCAGTCTCCCCTGTTCGGTGGGGAGAGGCTCACACTCGGGACCAGTCATGGCGCCAGCCCCGTCGCCACCCTTGCTCTCCGCCTGTGGCCTGGGTGGATGTGCCTTCCCGAAGGGGTGGACATGGCTGGGACAGAGCAGGGGTGGGGGGGCTCCCAGGAGCTCCCCAGGAGTGGCCGCAGAAGGGAAAGTCAGCTCGGAGGGGAAGCGGAAGCAGACGCCTCTGCCCACCCAGGCCCAGGCCCCCTTGGTTTAGTAAGCACCCGCTTATCCACTACCTGATACTAAACCCCTGTTCGGGATGCCCCATGTCTGCAGTGGGCCTCATGTCCTTCTGCAGAGACCCCTCACCCTCAGAGAATGGATGTCAGCGCCAGGTCGACCTTGGTGACAGAGAAGCAGTTCCAGGCAGGCGGGGCCCGAGGCTGGCGAGTCTGGTCATCCCGGCTGCGCACGGGACTGGGGACCCAGGTGGAGGGACCGGGAGGGGAGGGCGGCACTAGTGCAAGGGCTGAGTCACCACCGCCACATCCTGGAGCCCAGCGTCTCCTCCAGCTCGGTCCTTCCACACCTTGTGGGGCGGGAAAGAAGAGTGTCTCCCGGAGGCCCAGGGCTCCCAGCTCTGCCCTCAGGCAGACGCCTCTAGAACTGGGATCAAGGTGAGCCTCGGCCGTTGCTGGGGTCAGACGGGAACTGGTCCCATGAAGCGGTCTGGCTGGCCGAGCTGCCTTCCGAAAGCCTTCAGGTTAATTCCAGAAACAGACAGATACTGTGAAGTGCTGGAACCCATGTTCTAGCCCAGGGGACACTGCCTGGGGCGTCAGAGCCTGGGCAGCAATGCGGAAGCTGACTTAGGAGAATTTAAAACAAGAGTTTGCTCCAGCCTGAAGGGGGATGGCACCGGAGCTGAGCCTCTAGAGCGACTCCCTGCGGGGCTGAAGGGGCGTGGAGGGCGGAGCGACCCCCTCCCTGAGAGGGCTCAGCAGTATCAGGCATGGAAGCCTCCCTGCCCTGATCAGGGCGGAGGACCTGGCCGGCAGAGTGACGGCCCCAGAGACACCCTGCCCTGGTCCTGGGACCTGAGGACGCATCACCTCATGGGGCAGAGGGGATCCTGAAGGTGGGACTGGGTTAAGGCCCCTGGGATGGGGGTGACCCTGGATTTCCCGGGGTACCCCGTGTCCTCACAGAGTCCTCATCAGAGGGAGGCAGGAGCTCAGAGTCAGAGAGAGACGGGGATGCCCCGCTGCTGGCGGTGAGGATGGAGGGAGGGGCCGCGAGCCAGGGATGCGGAGCCTCTAGAAGCTGGAAGAGGCAGGAGCCGCTTCTCCCTGGAGCCTCCGGAGGGGCCAGCCCCACCCACCTCTGGACCGAACCCAGGTCAGACTCGTGATCTCCAGCACCATGAGAGCTAACCAATCTGTGTGCCCCTGGGCCACAGTCTCTGGTGACTTATTACAGCAGCTGCAGGAAGCTCAGACAGAGGCCAGGCAGACAGCCCAGATGGGCGCCAGGCAGGAGACCTCACAGCTGACCGAGCTGGGTCGCTCAGGCCCTGCTCACGCGCGGGCCTGGAGCCCTCAGTCCTCCACGGCGGCGGGCAAAGCTCGTTCACACTTCTGGGCCCCACTGGACGGAGTACTGGAAGGTCAGCTCAGGGCAGCATGGACTCGCCAGTCACAGAAGCTGAGCATCTGCGGACGGAGCCGGGGGTGGGAGGAGGCCCAGCGAAGAGGGGAAGGACCCCCTCCACGAGGGTGGCTGCTATCCAAAAGGAGAATCATGGTGCTGGTGAGGACACGGGGCGGTCGGAGCCCTCCTGCACTGCCGGTGGGGACACAAGCTGGGGCAGCGCTGCGGACAACAGTCTGCTGGTTATGGAAACACCGGGTTACCGTCTCACCCAGCAGCGCACCTCAAAGTCCACCTGAGAGAAGTAAGAACACGTCCCCACAAAAACCTGTACACACACACGCCCAGCAGGTGACTCACAACAGCCAAAAGGCAGAGACACCCAAACGCCCATCAGCAGGTGAACTGATCCACACACTAGGACATCACTCAGCCGCGAAAAGGAGAGACGCGCTGACACTCGCTCCAAGAGAGCACGATGCTCAGCGAAAGAAGCAGACACAGAGGGGGACACAGTGCATGACTCCTTGCATGTGAAACCTAAGTGTCAGCGAGGCACTCAGAGCAAAGCTCGGAGCAAAGCAGAGCCCCCCACTTTACAGATGGGAAGACTGAGGCCCAGACTCACCACTGCTGACATCAGGGCCAGTCCTGGGCACTGGCGTGTGTGTGAGGCAGTCTCCCTGGTGCCCCCTGAGTCCTGAAAACCACAGGTGTCTCCCGAGAGCAGAACCACCCCAGGTGAGAACCACAGAGTTAGAAGAGCTTGACTCAGTACTAACTAGTTAGTGATCATAAGTCAGAGTTAAGCCACACAGCTGGTGACAGGAGGAGCTGTAGTTCACACTCCAGCCAGACAGGTGAAGCCTCGCTCCTTGTGCCGGGCCACCTGCCCCCACGGCCCCCGCCCTCCGCTATTCAGGCTTCCACCCATCTGACCCCAAAGCCAGGGCCAGGTACCCCCCGGGCTGGGACTGCTCCCTCACAGGCCCCTCTGCACACCTGCAGAGCTGGTGTGGGTGCTTCCGGCTCCCACTCTCCCTGTTTCTGGAGGGTGGGCACAGCCCCAGGTGCCCAGGGCCTGGACAGCAGGAACGGGGTCCCTCTGAGAATGGGGTACAGCCAGAAACTTGCCACCTGCTGGCTTCTCTCCCGACATGGAAGGACCTGACAGGCTCACCTTAGACCCCCCAGGAGGCACTGATTA